CCAGGAAGGGGGTGGAGTGGGGAGTAGTTAATACTGACTAAGCATTGGAAATAAGTTCGCATCCATTAGAGCAGGAGTACAAGGCAAGCACAGAAGAACACTGCACTCCTGGGACGGGTGGTCGGAGGCGTCTGCTCATACGGAGACTTGGGCAGAAAGGGAAGTCTGGAGATGCTGACACCCTGGTCACGATTCTGCTCTGTGCCCATCGTGCTGCAGGTCCTACCAAGGCAGCGGGGGTCAACAGTGGCAGGAAAGTGTAAGAACTCTGGCATAAGGGGCCCATGTGGCAAGCCAGGAGCAATGCAGGTTTAGCATTGAAAGCCCTGGATCAACCCCCAGCTGTATTTCTTTACAAATAACTTCACCTCTCTGTGCCCCTTTTCATCATCTGTAAAATGGGAATAAAAATAAATAACCCCCTCTCATCCTAAAATCCAGAAAGAAAGAGTTTACATTAAAGGATGTAGTGATACAAGGTAACACTTGTGGTGTGCCGAGAGTGGCAGTGTATAGTTCATATGTCAGAGCCCATTTAACCCCCACCACTACCACCTAAGGCAGGTCCTGTATTATCCCCTTTTTACAGATGAGGAAGCAGAGGCTCAGAAATGGTTAGTGATCTGCCCAAGGTCACCCTGCTAACAAGATACGGGTCCGGGATTGGAGTTCACACTCTTCTGTTCCACTCAACAAGCCCCAGGTGACATCAGTGTCAAGGCTCTCATCTCAGTCCTCCTGAAGGTCAAGCATGACTTCCTCTTTCCTTCCTGTCTGCACTTCATTGGCTACAAAGCAAAAAGAGCTCTGTGTCCTGCACTTGCTTCTGCCAGTCCCTCATTCCCCGACCTTGAGCAAGCAAGGTCACCTTTCTGAAATCCAGTGTTGCATTTTCCATAAAATGGACCTAATAATCTGTGTCACCCTGGGACCGTCGTCATGAGGAACCACGAAGGCCGGTGTGACAGCACATTGTATGTCCCCCAGCAATGCCCAGGCTGAAGGGCACTTCGGAACAGGGCACGTCCAGACTGGAAAAATGTGGACACTGAAAGGCCCACGTCCCAACGGAGGGGCAGCTCTTGCAGAGCTGGGCACCCCCACCCGGGGTCACCTTGTTTATGCAATGACCAGCTGATGCTGAAATCCAAGAGGCCGCCATCTGCCCCCAGAGCAGGCTCAGACACTGTTTTTCTGTTTGCATCATTGGCTTCAGGTTGCATTTTTTTCTTTAAAAAAAATTTTTTTGGCAAGCGATATTGTCCTGAATTTTTCAAGTGGTTTGGTTTTCTTTCTTTTCTTGAGTCTTTTTTTTTTTCTCTGATTGCATGTAGTTCAAACAATGGCGTCATTTATGGGCTCCAGGCCGACTCCTGCCACGGGTCTCACACTGAGCTCTGTTTTCTAAATCGTTGGCTGCTGTCACTCTGACCTGAAACCACAGCTCTCCTTTGAGCTCAGGTCACGTGGCATCTGAGAACTCCAGAGCCTTGGAGTTGCAGTGTGGGCTCAACGGGGTTCTGACTTTTTGTTTTTAATTTTAAACTTATCCGTTGTTATCGAATGCCCAGGGATGTTTTTCTCTCTCCTCCCAAGGGTCCCCAAGGTTCTCAACGTCAAGCTCCGTGGGTCTAACATACCGCTCTCAATCCTTTTCTCTGGAAGACTTGGTAATAAAGCTGGCCAGAGTCTGCCGCACTCAGATGTGTACAGCGTGTATAACATGGGCTTGCTGCCTTCCTACATTCCTGGAATCAAGACACTTCATGTTAAGACAGCAATTTTGGTGAGGAGGCCCATTAAACACCAATAGTCATTTACACCAGAGTATGAATTGGCCTCTTAGCAGACCTGAAAGCAGTTGCTAGATGGAGAAGATGAGATTTCTGGGAGTTGCCAAAAGAATGAGATACTATAGAGGGTGAGAAAGGGGTAGGAACAGAGGACTGTCACACATTGAAAATGAACTTCACCTCTGGCGTGAATTTGCCTTGTGCTGGGACCATGCCAACTCTTTCCTCCAAAAGCAGGTTCTCACCTAAGAGACCTCCATATCGTTTATGGGGCACATCCTTTATTTACTTTAAGAAATTTTATATAGTGCATCTAAGTGTTAGGGGTTGTTCTAAGCTCTTTAAAAATATAAACTGATTTCATTTTCACAACCACCTTCCTAGATAAGTATTATTAGTATCCTGAGTGAGCAAACAAAAAAACAACTAAGTGATTTGCCAGATATCACAGAGCTTCTGAGCGGCAGGCTCGAATCCAAACCCAGGCAGTCTGGCTCTGAAGTCCATGCTGTCAACTTCTGTGCCGTAAAAGCTAAAGAACACAAAGCCACCGATTTTACCCTTTTTGGACAGCAAATGAATAAACTCTGGTGATGAGTAAGTCCTTTCAACCTTCAACTTCAAAGGCCTCCAGACGGTCAGAACCAGTCACTGGAGACTGACTTATGAATCTGATGATGCCATTCGTCAGCTCACACTTTGACTCATTCAGCAAGCAGACGATCAATGACGAGACAGTCACCGCTCAGACCTTTCAGACCGACAGCAGTCGGGGCCTTAGCCGGTCACTGCAGTATATATGGCAGGTGGCAGGTGGCATCTGCAGGCCAGCTCACTGTGGGAGTCCCAGGATGCGGAAGGGGTTAGGTTTAGAGAAGTGACTCTCACAAAGAAGTAGAGGTCACCCAGATGACTAGATGGGGCACAGTGAACCAAGAAGTAGGGAGAGCACGTGCAAAGGCCCAGCGGCGGCGGAGGGCTGGGCAGTCAGGAAAACAGAACATTGAGGGAGGCTGGTGGGGGAGGGGTGCGAGAGGGTAAGCGTGGGAGCTGAAGGTGCACAGACACCAGGGCCACGTGGACCCTGATTCAGAGTCAGGTTTACCCTGAGGTCAAAGGGGAGAGGGACCGAGGGGGGTTTTAAGCTGGGGAGGGCCAGATAGAGATGTGAACGGGAATGGATGTGGAGGCAAGGGTGGATTCTGTCGACTGCAGGGAGCAAAAGACACACACCCCCACCCCCACCCCACCCAATGGGCCTCTAGATCTGTGGGTTGATTAAAGGAGACGGAGCCTGATTACCTCAAGTTAAATACAACAGTTCACCTCAGATGTCCAGGCCCACTTCTCCTGGACACAGTACAGCCTTGGCAGAGAGCGCACGGCTGTAAAAGCAAGAACCTCGAGTGGTGAGAGCATCCAAACCAAGAGAGCCTTTAAAGTGACAGACCAAAGATATCTGATGCTGGTTAAGTTTCATTTCCCCAGTGCAGGACAAAAGTGAAGACAAGCGGGACACGTAACAGAAACTACGTCAGGCCTGTGGCTTGTCCCACTCTCCCCAGGGCTACGCGGAAACCTTAGCCTCTGCTTCCAGATTCGAGGAGGCCTGGGGTGGGGGCGTCTCCCATGCGCACGGCAGTTCTTCCTTTAATCGGGGACATCCATGCACCTTGGCTTTGCCACTCATCTTGTGTTGCCTGCCACTTCCCTGGTGGCACCATCATTCACCAAGGCCACCTCGTCCTGCCGCGATTTCTCGTGCTCATGCCTCCTGACCACACCGTAAGGCGTCTGGGGACCCCTCTGACGCAGCTGCCAAGCAGGGCAAATGCACATCTTAGATCCTTGGACACCTTTAGGCACAGTTCCTTCATTCCCCAACAAATTTACTTGGAGTGTTTGCCAAATGCCAGGCACTGGGGACACAAAGATGAATAAAAGCCAGGCCTAGCCCTTGAGGAGAGACTAGCTTCACGGAGGAGGGGAGAGCTTTTACTCAGGGCTAGCCCCTTTGGAACCATCTTAAAGACTGAAGTCTGAGCGTCAGCACACGTGGAATGTCAGGGATGGGGGTGGGGGGCGGGGAAGGCACTCCAGGACACGGATACATGCAGGGTGTGGTCTCAGCCTCACCTGCGTGAGGGCGGGTCTCCCTTTCTGACGCTGAAGAGAGCTCTGGCATCAAACTGCCTCTTGGACAGAGAGACAGCCCCAGTGATAGTAAGCATGGCAGTTAGTTACTAGGTTCTAGACCAGGTCTGTCCAACAGAACCGTCTGTGAGGGTGGAAGTGTTCGGTGTCCCATACAGTAGCCACCAGCCACATGGGACTACTGTGCCCTGGGACCGTGGCTAGTGCAAGTGGTGAGCTGAATTTTTAATTTTAGCTCATGTCCACGGGCTCATGTGACTGGTGGACAGTGTATTAGACAGCACAGTATGAGCTATTGTGCTAACCACCTTATGGGTAATATATCTACTCTAACAATAAACAGTGAGATAAGCGTGATTATCATCTTCACTCGACAGATGTAGAAACTGAGGCCCAGAGAGGTAAAATAACTTCTCCAAGGCACTCAGCGGGTAAGTGTAGAGTCAAGATGCAAACCCTAGCAGACTACGCCCAGAGGGAAGAAATGTTTCCTTCATCGTCCGTTCACTCATTCAGTCCAGAGACACACAGGCACCGTGCCCACCGGGAGTCAAGCAAGGGGCTGCCTCGGATGGGGCACAGACTTAGGTGGAACAGGGTCTCTGGCCTTGAGGAGCGGGCAGTTACCAGACTTCCAGCAGCGATCACTGCCTAAGGCACTTAAATATCTAATCACTGCTGTGCCACTGAAATTAATATACAACGTTGTGTGTCCACTACAATTTAAAAACAAATTTTAGAAGTTATTTTTTAAAAAGACGGTCCCTCTTTGCATCGCTTAATCTCCTCCAACACCGTCAAGTGCAACAGAGCAGGTTCAGCCAAGGCTGGTCCAGCGGCTGACGATTCGGCGCCCACGGGCCAGACAGCTGCCTGGGACCACTCGGCCCTCGCCGCCACCGTCATTCTGCTCCCGGGAGCGTCCGGCACAGGGTGCCCCTCCACCCCTGCCCGTTTCTGAGAAAACACGTCTTTCAGGTCCCCTTTTCGGTTCCTTCCCCCGTGTGTGTCACAAACCTACGAGGCCTCCGAGGGCTCCCCGTGGAGGGCCGGGTCCCCTGGAGCCCCACAGACACGCATCAGGGCAAGTTCTCCTTGCATTTCCAGGAGGCTCCGGCCCCTCTCAGTTCCCAGTTCCAGCGTGTGACGACGGATTTCCTACGCTGACCTCACGCTCGCTGCGCCCAGGAGTAAAGGTTCATGAACTAATCGCTGCAGCTGCAGCAGCGTGAGAAAGCAGGCGTGGGCGAGGATGCGCGGACAGCCACTGAGTAGGGAGCCTTCCGCCGACTCTGTTGGAGTCACGCTGTCCGTGTTTCATCTACTTAATTTTCATGGAGACCCTATCAGGTAAGCACTATTATCATTGTCATTTTCCCCAGGAGAACAGCGAGATTTTAAGAGGCTGAGTAAGCTGCTCAGGGTCACCCAGAGAGTAAGCAGCACTGCTGAGACCCATGGGGTCCAGCTTCCGAGCCCCATGCTTATCAGTTGTATTCCCGGTGGTGCTGAAATCCATAGTCAACCTCCGCCTAACCATCCGCAGGCTCCCCAGCCCCGTCAGGATGAAGTCCAAGCAACACAGATGGGCCTGACTGCCCCAGCCCAGCCCTGCTTTCCAGCACCGCATCTCACTCCCCTCGTGGAACCATGTGTGCCTCTGTGACTTTGCACATGCTGATCCCTTTGCCTGAGATGCTGTTCCCTCCATTCCATGAGCGGTGGTTATCACAGCTGACCCTTCAAGGCATCCTCTCTGTGAAGCCGTCCTGGACTTCCTGTGTTTGTGTGAGGTGCCTGCTTCATCGCCCCAGGACTCCCACTGGGCGAGCACTGCCTCACTGCGTGTTTGTCTCCTCATGAGACTAGAAGGTCTTTGGGTACAGGGCTTTCTCCTCCAGCCCTGAACACACACAAGGCACGACGTGTGTTGTCCAAGATGATGCAGACTGACCCTGTCCTGCTTGCACTCCCTTCATCCTTAATTTAGCCTGGCCCCACAGGGATCGAGGTACCACAGCCGGGGACAGTGCCGCTGGGTCAGTCAGAGGTGCCACCCCGTATCAGTCTGCTGGGGCCAGCACAGCCCAGAGTTACCCATGGCATGGCTCAAACGGTTCTTACAATTCTGAAGGCTTCAAGTCTAAGATCAAATTGTCAGCACGTAGGTTTTTTCTGAGGCCTCTCTCCTCGGCTTACTGTGTCTTTTGGTGTCTTCCTACGGTCATCCTTCTCTGTGTGTGGCTGTGTCCTAACCTCCTCTCCTCACGAGAACGCCAGGCAGATTGGAGAGTGCCTACCCCCGGGACCTCATTTAACTTTAACCACATCTTCGAAGATTCTATCTCCAAATACAGCCACATGCTGAGGTATTGAGGGTTAAGACGTTGACATATGAGCTCAAGGGGTACAATTCAGGCCATAACACATCCCAGCGTCCCTCCTTCCACACATAGCGAGAATGATTCAAGGCCAGGCTGGACGCATCCATCATGGGCATCCAGCCCAGCCTTTGCATTCCACGAGTGGGGAAACTGAGGTCCGTAGATGAGAAGTGGCTTGCCACCAAAGTCACCCAGCAAGATTAAGTCAAAATTCATGACTGTTAGTCCAGGACTCTTCCTGTGACCCCCATATCCATTAGTAAGCACTATTCTGAGCCTCTATCCACCCCCCAAAGCAGGGCAGAGGGGAAGCTGGTAGGAGCCAAGAGCAGACCTCCTGCGGGCAAGTCTGCCCCCTCTCCCTGCTCCGTGATGGCAGGACCAACCCCTGTGCCTCACCCACAGCCCCGGCCTCCAGAGGTGTTCTCAGCTACCTGCAGGGTCCCTGCAAGCTGCCTTGGTCACCAGGCCTCGGCCTCGGAGCTCCCAGGAGGGAAAGTTGATTGAAATACCAAGCATGTGACTGTCTTTTTTTTTTTTCTTTTCAGTTCAGAGTATCAGCAAAAAAAAGGACCCTCCCCCGCATTCCCTGCCAGCTGCACATGCTCTGCTGTGATTGGTCAAAGGCTTCCCAGGAGCTCAGAGCCCTGGGGCCCGAGGAGCAGCCCCACACCCCGCGTCCGGTATTCCCTGATAGTCCCGTCCTCCCCAGAGCCACTCTCCTTCCATCCACAGTGTCCGAGCTCAGAGCTCCTCTGTGGTCCCCCTGTTTGTGAAAGCAAGTTCATCCTCCTCGGCACAACAGCCCAAGTCCCCTGCCTGTGTCCCGACTAGGAGCATGGACCTAGGGAACAAATTGATTAAACTCCAATTCTTTCTCTAACACTTTCTAGTTGTGTGACTTTTCTAAAGTGCCTCTGTCTTCTAATCTATAAAATGGGGACAATAACAAAGCCCTCCTTATAGAATTGTTATGTATATTAAATTAGTTGGTATGTGCACGGCATGTAGAATAGTGCCTAGAATATATTAAGCCTTATGTAAATATTTGTTAAAAACATACATACACCCTGGCTGGCATAGCTGAGTGGATTGAGCTCGGGCTGCAAACCAAAGTGTCACAGGTTCGATTCCCAGTCACGGTACATGCCTGGGTTGCAGGCCATGAACCCCAGCAACTGCACATTGATGTTTCTCTCTCTCTCTCTATCTCCTTCCCTTCCCTCTCTAAAAATAAATAAATAAAATCTTTTTAAAAAAAACATACATACACACTGCCCTACCCCACCCAAACACAACAAGCTTTCTTTAAAAACCCACAAGGCAGGAAAGGGCTTAGGGATGCAGGGATACTAGGCAAGGCCAAGGGGAAATACCCCAGAGGGGCAGGACGTGGGGGAGAGGGCAATTCAGGGAGCGGAGGAGCAGAGTCAGGGCGGCTCCTGAGCACAGGAATGGTAAACTAAGGCCTGGGTGTGATTAAAGCTCTGAGTGGCAGAACAGGTGAGAGGTGGTGTGTGAGCTCAAGACGAAAGAGCAGAAGACCAAACCTTGGGGACACGAGATGCTGCGGTGAGGGGTCTCAGCGTGTAGACCACACTTATCAGTCTAAGACTGCGCCATGCGCACGCCCCTCTCTGCGCCTTCCACCCCGGGCCCTGTCCCCACTCACGCTGCCACTTAAAAACCTGGTGTTTCTACTCCGACACTCTCAGCAGGAGGTCTGCTCTAGGGTCTCTGCTCTGGAAAGAAACATACAGTCAAGAGGAGAGAAAGACAGCTAACGAGATGGTTCGAGTTCAGTGTGAAGTAAGAATGAAACCCTCCCTGGACAAGGGGCAGCTCCGGCTGAACGTGGCTGTGGGGTGGGGTGGGGCAGGGGGAGTCGGAGGGTGCTGCCCAGAAGATGGGACATGTGAGCAGAATGGTGAAATGCACCTGAGCCTTTTCTGTGGGGGAAGGTGAGGGATGTTCCAGTCAGTGAGAAGGCACCAGAGCATGAAACTGCTGACGGCATGTCGTGGCTGGAGAGCAAAGGGCACGCAGGGGGCCAAGAGGAGGGCGACAGAGCTGCCAGGGAGGAGGTGGCCAGAGCTTGCAGGGCCCTGTGGACAAGGCCAAGAAATGATGTCGCCATCCAGGAGTTAACAGGCTCTAGAGATGGACTTTGGGGAGGGGAAGGGAAGGGCATAAGTAGAGCTACATTTTGGAGAGAACCCGGTGGGTTCTCCCAGCAGCAAAGCCTGAGACAAGAACATGGGTGGAGGTGGTCTACTTGCAAGGTGACCCCAAGACGCAGCAGGGACAGAGCAAGAAGAGCGAGTTGGGGATTGGGGGAAGAGACAGCAAGGGGCGTGCTTTTGAGCTTTGTGGGCAGCTAGAACTCAGTCTTGCTGGGGACCCTCTGAGTCACTGTTAATGAACTTCATATTGACACTAACTTTGAGTCCCCGTAGGCTGAGGGTTCCCTTCAGGAGGCATTAGTTTTCCCCTTCCCCATCACTCCTCCAGACTGTGCCTGGGCAGGGGCTGACTGGCCTGTTGTGGTTTTCAACAAGCCCTGCATGTTTCAGATAGGACACTCTGTCCTCACAGCATGCGTGGAAAGGTCCTCAAAGCCGTGCTGAGATCAGGTGGTCCAGGGAGGTATTTGGGGCACAACAACATCTGCGGCCCCTGGGTCCAAGGGGCATTAGTGAGAATTACATTCCTTTGCAAGTGAAGGAAAAACAAAGATAACAGTGGCTTAGTCAAGTTAGACTTATTTCACCTCTGCATTGAAGAAGTGCAGGAATACTGATTTATGGCTTCACTGAAGCCTTAAGAATGTGTCTTCGACCTGAAGAATGGTGAAGGCCATTCTTCAAGCTGTGGAGGTCATTCTCTCATGGGCCAAGGTGACTGTTGGAACTTCAGCCATCATATTCATGTTCCAGGTGGCAGCACAGAGCAGCATGAAGAAGAATGCACCCTCTCCGGTTTAAGGAAACTTCCCAACACATCCACACGACCCTTCGGCTGATATCTTCTTGTACAGAACTTAGGCACATGATCATGAGCTGCAAGAGAGGCTGACAGGTGTTGTCATTCACATCACCTGCTATGTATCTAACGAAAAATTGGGATTCTTTCACTAAGAAGAGAAAGAGAATGGACCTTAAGACACAATTAGCATCTCCAGCAACAAAGATGTAAGATGAGAACAAGGAGGTTAACTGGGAAGCACTCTCTGCTGTCCAGGGAGAGATAAGGAGGCCCCAAACAGAGGGAGTGGGAGTGGGGGTGGGGGTGAAGAAAGGGCTGCATCTGTCGAACGTCTGGGTGTGGGTTTGGCAGGACTTGGGGAGGGATATGGAGAGGACATGAGGGCCAGGATCCAGGGATGCCATTCGCACAGCCAGGTAACGTATAAATAGGATCAACAGTTTGGGAGGGAAGCCATGAGTCCCACTGCGGACATGCTGTGTTGGAAAAAGGCAGCCAGAGTTGTCTAGTGAGTAGACAGTTGGGTGTTCAGGTGGCCAGGGGAGAAATCTTGACCCCAGATAGCAAGACATCAGGGGTGTCAGGAATCGCAGCAGCGAAGAGTCCTCAGAGCAGGGACATAGAGGAAGGGAGCAGGGGGCTCCGAGGGCAGGGGAACGTCAGGGACCCTTATGCCTCTGGTTGCCTGTATCCCTCGACTGAAGCTGTTAACAGGAAGTCCCCTTTTATGGCTATAGTCTGGGTTTCAAGGACCTCATGGCTTTCAAGCCTAAGGCTGGTAATGGCCCCCATAGACTATTCATCTTAGAGTGATGCACTGTCTCTTGTTGGACTCCCTTAATCCTTCTATACTTTCATAAATAGTGCTTTCATTAAACTCTCCTTAATTTTAATGATAGGTAGTAGGTAGGTAGAAAGATAGATAGATAGATAGATAAACAGAAAGATAGATAGAAGGAAGGATGGGAGGATGGACAGACAGATGGAAGATGTGTAGCTGGCAGAGAAAGATGAGCTCATAGGGAAATTGAGAAGTGATAGTAGGAGACGCAGGGGCAGAACCAAGAGTCAAGGGAGAAGTGAGCTCAGTGTCAAATGTGACCCCCCCATTAGTTAAAACGAAGACTGTGACTCATTTATTGGATTTGCCACAAGAAGGTCACCGATGACCTCAACGAGCACAGTTCCATGTTGCGGGAGAAGCCGACTGCGGCGGTCGGAGCTGCAGAAGTGAGTGGGAGACCAAGAAGTGGGAACAACAGCTTTCTCCCTCTTCTCCACCGAGAATGCCTGGCTCACATGTCACCTCCTCCACAAACTTTCGCTGCCGCTCCTGTCTTCCTCTCTGCTCCCCGAGCACCCCGTGAGCCGTCTGCCACCAATGAACGGCTGAGCTCCCAGAGTAGGGACCCGTGACTCCGGATCTACTCGATGTTATAGAAAGAGCACTGGACTTGAAGTGTAGAAACATGGGCTCTAACCCTAAACGTGGGCTCTAACCCTGACAAAGCATTCAGCCCACCCACCCAAGGTCCTGCAAAGGAAGTTCGTCTTCTCTGACTTGGCCAGAACAGGCCCTGGGGTGGCTGCTCCCTGCGCATGGCCCCACACCATGGAAGGGTGCCCCTCCAGCCGCCAGCCAGCTGCAGTCCTCCTCAGTGGTCAGCACCCAGTAAAGAACCACAGCCTGCCCCCCTACTGCCCTCATCTTCTTCCTTGACCGTGAAAAGATGTAGGAGCCCCTGAGGATCACGGGCATCCCTCTTTCCCACCATCTCCAGGACTGGTCAAGGTCAGAGGCAATCTGTTACCTGTGGTTCCATCAGGAACAGGATATTAATCATTTTACCCATGAAGTTTTACTGCCCTCTTGGAATTGAACCCTAGAAACCAGAGAAGTCAGGGACTTTTGTACCATTTTGTATCCAATCATAGGTTTCCTAAGACCCTCCCTCCGCATTAGAAGAGCCAGGGGAGCTATTTTAAAAGGTAGATGCCTTGGCCCCTCCCTGGACCCACGGACTCAGAATTTCCCAGGGGTCTTCCAGGCAGGTCTGTTCCTCAGAAGGTGGTTCTGTTGTGGAGCCAGAGCTGGGAATCACCAAATCTAAAATTAACCACAGGAAATGAATACTGAGCTAGACCTACTAGGTGCTGCGCCGTGTCACTGTGGTTAACCTTACCGCAGCCCCAGAGTGTGGGCTTTCTCTGCTCCACCCTGTGAGGAGGAAGGAGACGCTCGAAGAGGTCAAGGGGCTTCCCGAGCCGCCCAGCTGATAAGAGGCAGAGCCAGGGACGGAACTGGGGTCTTTCTTATCTCAGCGCCCAGCCTCGCCCACACCCCCCCATGGGCACCTTCTGCGTGAGAGGCCTGTGCTGACAGACCCTCAGGAAGGAGCAGACACCTGCATGAGGGTGGCTGACACAGGGACAGTTAACTCTGATGCAAAGTTGCCTGAGAAGGATAAACAGAGGCCCCAAGGGCTGTGAGGGTCCAGCGGCAATACGGTGGGGGAGCTGGGAGGAGCCAGAAAAAAGCTTCTGGGAAGAGGGAACGGTTGAGCTGGGTCTCGAATGATTCCATGGCTGTTTACGTATGTCATGCAACATGCCAAGCACTGAGCTTGGTCCAGGGGATAGAAAGATGAAGGAGACGTGGTCCCTGCCCTCAGGGGCCTGGGAGTCCAGCCGTCAACCTTCTCTGCACCTCCCGTGTTCTCTGTTGGCCTTCTTCCTCCTCCTCCCCCTTCTTCGCGTGCCCCCCTTTTCCTGCTTTTTTGGTCCCGCAGAGCAGCTCCACGGTGAGCCAGGCTTCTTAGTCACCCAGGAAATGGGGTGCTCCAGGTTCAGAGCTCAGGGAGCAGAGAAGCACAAGGGCCCCACCCAGGCCGGGGGGGT